TTACTATTTAATACCAAAATCTAATCACATTCAGCCATTGGTTCTTCGGTTGACACAGAAACACAAATGGTAGATAGAAAGAATTTGCATTACTCACAGGGGTATTGGGTGATCAGATAAAGGATAGGGGAACAAAGATACTCACCTAAACTGACAAAACCAGCAGGAATAGCATATTGTAGTAATTTATTAATACTCAATTTAGATGTGAGTAATTCCATTATCAAGAGCAGACCACACAAGATACACAGTTCTGATCTGAAGACCAATATAGCAAATGCTGATAACCAGATAAATGACTTGTGATGACGTAATAACCATGATCTGAAAGCTAACAACACTACAAAACCCATGCATTATAAATTTCAATGAGGAAAACAATGATATGTTATTCGTAATTATTCCATGTACACAAATCATAAATCAAATAACTGTATTAGAATGAAAAGTATCGAATATTAAAGATGTAAGAGATTAATATGTTCAGTGGACAAACAAACTTTGAGTGAAACATGTCCAGGCATAAGAGGTGGGCATAACCAAGATCCGGTTCCAGAATGACAGAAATGATGTATTTTATGAATTTGTAGAACTAACATGGCCGCCATTCAGCCATCATGAATTGTAACATGAAATAAATGCATTTGCATGTTATGTGTGATGTGTGTAAAGTTTGAATATAAGTGGCATGACATGTTTGAAATACAGGTGCAGACGGAGAAACAGATGCCGGAAGGTGAATAAGTCTCAGTTTTCAGAATACATCCTAATGGGGTCTGAGAAAGATATTACAGAAAAACACAGAAGTGTTTGCAATTTAATTTAACAAAGGTAATATTGAAGAAAATGATAAATTTGATTTATTTAAGGAAACTGAAAACTTACCTAAAGCAAGAGCAAAGACATTAGGTAGCGGTCTGGTTACATAGAATAAAAAGTGAAACTGTGTGATGGTCAACAATGTCATGTACCTGGCCACATCTTTACCAAACTTTATTCTGACTGCTTGCTTGAATTTGATGAAGGCATACAGAACACTCAGTCCAAGAACACCACGTACTGGAAAAAGATACATAATTTTGTGAATTACTTTGGCTGTAAGTTATTCTCCCTCAAAACCACAGATTGCATGCATTTTTTGTAACTGATTTTTTCATCGAGTCACTGTAAACAATAGAAACAACATAATTTTATTTTATTTTGCAGTACATCATCCTAACATGCTGTCTATAACAAATCTAACTGAAGCAGCACTGCTTTCGACACATTATTAATGCAAATTGAACAGCATGTTGGTTCATTTGTGAAATAATCTTGATGCATTTTTAGCTGTAAAATGGCTACCACTCAGCCATCTTGAATTGAATTGAATTGTAATGTTTGATGTATGTGTGAAGTTTGAAAATGGCTGGTTCAGGCTTGTCTGAGATATGGATAGGAACAGATGCACAGACGTAAAAAAAGTAAATCCTTGTTTTCAGACATCATCTAAACAGAGACAAAAAACCAACAACTACAAACCTTACAAAATAGTATATGTTTTCTTACTTACCTATAACTTGAGAATAAGCTTTTGATAATCCCAAAAAAGAAGACAAGGCTACAAAAGGTGCAGACAACAATGATACAAACAGTGGACCAATAAATGTCCTTGGCACAACTCCTGGAAATTCTAAATGATCATACTGTGAAAAAAACATCCAATAAATTGTAAAATTATAAACTGTAAATTGGATAATTAAACATACTTATTACATCTATAACAGTATAAATGTGAACAATACAAGAAGAAAAATTGCCTTACTCAATGTGCAAGTTCTAAGTGATGGATCATAAACCTTCAAAAGCCATAATTTTCCCCATGAACATTTTGGTACAAAATTTTGTTCATTTTTTGTGCATTTAGAAAGAATTTCCCATTGGTTACAGTCTTAATCAAAATATTAAAAAACAAGTCATTGTCAATGACACGTCCGCGTTCCGTTCATATTTGAGTGACATATACATTCAAAGCAGACCATGACCGAAATCTCAGTGGTCTGATCCGAAATGCACCTGCATATGTACAACACATTGTACTAAATCTGAACAAAATCCATCCATGCATGACTGAGATCCAGTTCCGTAATTGTGAAAATACGTGATATTGATGCATTTTCGGCCTTAAAATGGCCATCATTCAGTTAAGCGGATCATGAAACAAATGCACATATCTATTTGTGACATGATGTACCATGTGTGTGTGAAGTTTGAACTTGATCAATCCAGACATGTCTCGGATACGGATCCAGAACTGAATTCCTTAAAACAAAATGGCCGCCACTCGGCCATTTCGAACTTGATCCGAAAAAAAAAGACGTGCATCAAGGTCCTATTATGTTTAATGTATGTACCAAATTTGAACAAAATCCATCCATGCATAACTGAGATCCGGGTCCGGAATGGTGAAAATGTGCGATTTCAATGCATTTTCGGCCTTAAAGCAGCCGCCATTTGGCTATCGTCTGTGCTCTCGCTGTCGCTCGCAAATGTCGTAAATTACGAAATTTTGACAAGATTTACGAACAAAATAAATATCTATTAGTAGGATTTACGAACACATTTTGTACAAAATACCCTCGCAAATCGCCCTCATTTAATTTTCAAGACTCGACTGTGATCATCACGCGTGTTACGGTTTGAGTGATTGCCATTTTAAAGTTAAACAATGTCCTGTTACTTCTAAGATTGCAACAATTGTTACATGGTGATCGCGATCAACACGGAACTGCCACTGAATGTATTTTTCCACTCCAAAGTTATTTTGGTGTCATCGCACATGCGTAGTTTAGTCGACATGTGTTTCAAGATACCCCACGACTTTACTCTCAGTATGGGACGGTTTCATGTCGCCCTTATCAAAACACGTGATTTGTTTATTTATTGAAAATGGAGACTACGTCAAAACGGAGCAGACAACTGCTCGACGAGTATTTTTCACGACGAGATGGAGAAACCGCTAAATCGTGTTCAGAACAAGAAACCCATGGGTGTCCTAACCCTGACAGCACAAAGAAACAGAAAGTTGATTGTACTGCAGCACGATTTAAGAAATAATGGAAGGTTAGCTGCGGTTTCGTAGCTCTTTGGTGCGACATACAATCTAATTTTGCCCTACCAATTCCATTTGGACGTCTTGTTTTTATTTTTGTTGTTGAACATGGGCCGGCCAGTGTCTGTCACGTAAATAATGCGGTCGGCAACATAGGGCTATGATTCCACAGCTAATGGAAGGTGAGACAATGTTAGCGAATCGATCGAAAAATATTATAATTTGTGTAACATTCTTACCGGGCATTCTTAGCATTGAGATCGAGTTACAAGACTGAAAGTTACTTTAGTTACTTTTTCACTTTAATTCAGAAATTTCGATGAAAATAAATAGTCATTTTGTGTCGTTATAAACGTCAACATGCCGGTTTGCATGATGAGCACGGGAGATTACTTCATAACAATATTGATTGGCATAGAGTTTTTTCTGAGAAATTTCCCGTGAATTTATTCACTGGATGACTTGTGTTCTTGGCAGTGAACTTAAAAAGTGAACTTTTGAATGATGACTATTTTCCCCACTGTTAACAATGTGAGCTTATCATGAATATGTTTAATTAATACTGAGTTATTCAAATAAAGGTTCTGGTGTCTACATTGCATATTTTGTTGTGATTTTAAACTCATAGTTGCTGTCGACATAGGAAGTAAAGTAAGCAAATAAAACCGAATAAACGGCAAGGTAAAGACTGCGTCTAATTATAGTAAATACGTACTGCGTGCGTGACTCGAACCGGCGTTCACGTACGGCACCTAATCGACACACACACACACACACCCACACACATACATACATACAGAGTCAATAAACGATAAGGTAAGTTTACACGTTTACATAATACTCGAGACATGTGCGATATTAAAATATTGTGATAATAGAGTAAATGCATTACAAAAAGTTCATGTATAGTAAAATTACGAGTTCTTAAAAACGGTAAAATCGATAATGATAGATTGTTATTTCATCAGATATTCTCGTATTTGCAGGTTCATGCCATCTGCAGCAGCTAGGACGTCGTTGAAACACCATAGAGCTTCAAATCCGGTACGACATTTTGCCAGTAGATGGTAATTGTGCTCGTTCTTTATCCTGGATCTGTACGGCCTTTAAAACATTGCAGCACATCTGTATCAGCTAAGTCCTTGATTTTATTGTAGCGCGTTATATGAATAGCTGCTTTAATATTTCCAACAATAAAGCATAGGAGGCGTTGTTGAGACGACACTTTTTTTGACTTCCTAGGTGAGCCCAGAATATAATGTGACAACGGAAGTAATCGCACATCCAGCAATTGAGAAATTAATGTATTAAGGAGAATAAAAACAGGTACGAGTCGTTGACAATCAATAAATATATGCACCAGGTCATCCTTTTCTCTACAAAAGGGGCAAAGGTCTGAATCTTGGAAACCAGTTTTGAGCAGAAAGCCTCCAGTGGGATAGGCACCATGTAGAATTCGCCATGACAAGTCCCCGTCTTTTTTTGTAAGTGGCGTCAAATAACACTCTGAAAAGTTGGGTTTTTCCTGTGGACTCAGAGAGAGGAGATCGTGCCACACCGTACCATCTAAAAGGTTGGTTTTGGTGAAAAATCGATTAAGTAACAGAAATTGATATATTGCACCCCTACATACATACAGACATGCAGACATGCAGACAGGGTAACTGCAAAGACTCCCTTTTGTGCTTCGCACACGGGAGTCAAAAAATGCATGTGCATATGTCCCATATAATGTGTGATGTATGAGTAAAGTTTGAACTCAATCAGTCCATGCATGTTCGAGATACAGGTGATCACGGACGCATGGACGCACACAGGGCAGACCATAAGTCCCCGTTTTCGGACTACGTCCGAACGGGGACTAAATATGGAAACAATTATGCAGATGCATTTTGTGCAAGGCAATACAAAAGATTGGTATTGAAAAAGTTTAATAACAAAAAATTATAAAAAGTTGTATTTTCTGAAAAACAGACGATGACAGAAGTATGGTCTGTAAAAAGCACACAAGTTGTCTTGATTTTTTCATTCCATAATGGAAAAGTTTTTTATTTATACAGCTACTGAATAACATTCTCACCGCTAGAGTATTTTTTCCGCCCCACTCAAAAAAATCAGTTGCTGAAAGAGGGCGTGGTTTGCGACGATGCTGAATATGTAATAGATTAATAGTAGTTATGAAGTGGGTGGGTAAAAAAAAACACATTGAGCAGGACAAGTAGTTAATAATGGTTTTTCCTTCAGCCAAAAATTCATGCACTTTCCAAGATCTCCCAAGCCTTTATCAATAAACATGTAGCATGGATGGTCAGTTTAGCTTATTAGCCATGCAAATGTATTCAAAGTCAATCAAATCAGGTCAATGGTAAGTGAAATAGTCTTTGTTCATGAATCATAGTCAGAGATCGTATAACAATTCATGCTTACGATGATGTGATTTTCAATCAACCAATCAAATTTATAGTCAATATATAGCTGACTGTCATGAGATATTACTAGCATCATACTTAGACATAGTTGATGGCATTCTCAGTCATTAGCTCTGGTCTTAGCTCTTAATTCACATCTTGTTTACCTTGCTTATATTTCCTTGGTGATAGAGAAGGTCATGCATCGCTTGTAGATTGAAACTTTCTTCCACTTTTGTGTATGGACAAATCACTAGGTGAAGTGTCCCTGCAATGAGTAGTAATGATTCTGATAGCATTGTGAAAAATGACCTGTAAAACAAGAGATGTGAAAGTAACATTAATATACTGCTTTTGAGATATATGTCAACCATTTTGAATTTAACCCGGAACTCACTGTGATCTGTTGAAATCATGCCAGTGTCGTCTAATATCTATAAAGAAACAAAGACATACATGTGTAACAAAAGCGTGTAATCTTCACCTGAAGGTATTTTGTTTGTTCATGAATCCTTCCACTTAGAAATGACAGCAAGGAATTAGTGAAAAAAATCAGGTAAGAATCAAATAATGTGCCTTTATACTTTATTCTCCAAATCATTCAATTTCAACTCAAATGGCGATGACATGTTTCAATAATTTTCTGTTACTTAATAAGAATCCACTAAAGACTATATTGGCTTGAGAACACCAGTAGTTTTTTTTTGCTTATAGCTACTGCCAATACACCCTTTTCCCCTTTATCTCGGTCCAGATAGATGCTTGTGACCGAAACTCGGCACGTGTCGAGTTTTGCTGCCTGAACGCTCTGCACGAGCCGGAATCACGCCCTCGGTGGTAAATTTAAGAAAAACATAAGTTGAAAATTAAGATATACTAGTATATTTTTATCTCTTATGTATTGTATCTTTTGTTTTTGTTTTTTGTACTTTGTATTTATGTTCCTTACCATACAAAAACAAGGTTTTTAGTAGTGTAATAAAGTTATTAATATATGATCGGATGCTGTAGTAGTGAATGAAATGAAGGCAAACTGTCGTCAGTGATGCATGTTTATGCGCTGCTGCAACTTCTATTTTCTTGCAATACTACATTGATGTTAAAAAAATAATTGTGTTTCTAAGTGGGTCCCGAATAATGTGAACGCAACTGCTGTAAATCCCTCTGCAAACACGACGGATTAAAAATTTCGGCACGTGCCGAGATCCAGTATCGTGAACCATGGAGCTAAAAATAGCTCCATGCGTGAACGTAGTAAGTGACTTACATGTTATAAAATCATTTATATACATGTCTTTTGTTTGCACTTGTCACCGGACGGTTACGTTTCCTACCCTCCCCCCTCCCCCCGGTGTTTCCAATGCGTCACCCCTTGGTAGTAATCGTATCAGGTCACATGCAGTCATCGTGTTGGAACTGACCTTGCGATTTGTGAATGCCAATATATGCAGCTTTCGTTTCTCTATCAGGATTTCAAAAACAATACCGAATGACGCCCATTCAAATTATTTGCAACGATTTAGGATTCAATAGACTGGTTTCAACTTGAACATGAGATGAGAGCAGACATTTAACATCCTATGCCTTCTACAAGGCTACGCAAGAGTGGTGTAACATGTAAGAATTATTTTGATTGGCTATGTGAAATTAAATTACACTGTTGAACCAATGAAAAGCCTTGATATAAACAGCATGACAAATAACAAGATGGCGACTGCACCATGATTTCTGTACTTCGCCTGTCTGAGCACCTGACATTTTAATATTTTATCTGCGATCGGCTATCATAACGGATCGTAGCACATTTCTACATGGTTCCTGGTTAATTTGTTGGATTGAAATATGGGATCAATAGCACGGAGGCTCGATATGAAGAAATTGGCGTACGTGACAGTCCCCCGAGTACCGGCGATCACGGGTAATACCAAGTTTGATTCCAAATTGAACGATTTGACTGGTGGGCGGATCGAGCGATGGATGAAATCTTATGAAGAATTTCTTGGTCTGGAAGAAATTAGAGCAGCACAGGGAAAAGTCACTGCGGTAAGTCAATTTATCATAAATT